CAACCCCCTTTTATTGTGAGCAAGCGAAAATGGGCGGTACAGAAGGCAAAGCAAAGGGTGGTTACATATGTTAGGTTGCAAGTACAGTTGACTGGGAGGAGTTTGCCATATCCTGGTACATGTTCCAGCTAGTAACCTAGCCTGCACGTACACAAAATGGCTTCAGCGTAGCTTACTTCAACAAGTTCTCATTCCTTGCAACATATATCTTAAACTATCCCACAGAAGTCTGTTCATGTGTTGAGATCAATGTCTATAACTTTTTTCTTAGGTTCATAATTAACAGATACTTGGATCTGTGAATCAAAGCATTTTCAGTGTTGAACCTACTGTGGATTTTGTTTCCCACCAAGATCATACAGTTTATTTAAAAAAAGGTATTATTATTGTTGGTTGCACAGTCAGACAGATGTTTAGACTGGATTTGGCATTTCTATCCACCTATCGAGTCCTTCCCAAGAACCTGGGAAAGGCAGATGTTGTGATGGTGTTAAAGGTATCATCACAGGATATGAATGAATGAATGAATGAATGAATGAATGAATGAATGAATGAATGAATGAATGCTGTTCCAAGTAAAGCTGCCTTTTGTAATTCACTGATGGTGATTTTGTCAATGCTAATGGTCTTTCAAGATGTTCCAGATGTTTTGGGATGATGATGAAGATGATGATGATGATAGCTGGTCGCACAGTCAGATGTTTAGTCTGGATTTGGCATTTTTATCCACCTATCGAGTCCTTTCCAAGGACCTGGGATAGGCAGATGTTGTTGTTTGATGGTGTTAGAGGTATCGTCGCAGGGTGTAAGCTGTTCTGAGTAAAGCTGCCTTTTGCAATTGACTGATGGTGATTTTGTCAATGCCGATGGTGTTCAAGTAGTGCTCCAGATGTTTTGGGATTGCACCTAAGGCGTCTATAAGTATCTTTGCTTTCTTTTGCCATAGTCGTTCTACTTCTACTTGCAGATCTTTGTATTTTGTGATTTTCTCCAGTTCTTTCT